CTTAATTTCGCAATTTTATGTAACGTAAAGTAGTTTTCATAATTACAAACGCGACGTTTCTCGCGAAAAGACAATGTTGCGAACAGGTATAAGAAAGAAGAACGCAATCATTTTTTGATAACATCTCCTTTAGCGTTCGATTAGATTAACCATCAGATTACGACAACTGATGGGGAGATTACAGGCGGAAAGGCAAGTTTATTAAATTCAATGCACTGGTAGTGAACGCCCGCCTAATCTCTGACCAATTCCACTTTCCCAAACTCCCCGTATCAGCGTATTCCGTTCGTATCTCCGATGGCCCGTATTAAATTTCTTCGACCGATCTCGTCGACAATTATTTACCGGTTCCAAGATCGGCTCGCTCGTGCAGTTTCCCTGTGAAACGGGGAAAATCTTTGTCGGGGAAAATCGTATTTCAGATAAATAATTTCCCGCACGATTTTGTTCTTGATAAGAATACTGAGAACTCGCGTGCCTTCGCCTCGCGCGCACGATAATAATCAATTCCCCATCGATTTGCACAATCTGAAATTAATTCATCCACAGCCTGCGGTTTACGTCCGAGTTTTCGGTCTCGCGTATAATTAGGAGTAATTAGATACTTTTATAGTTTGCGTTAAACTATACGGTTGTATGACCTTGTCACGCGAGAGTATCACTGTCAAAGCGATAAGCGGCCCAGCACGTTTTACATTCGCGCGTTTATCAACTGACAATCTTTTAATTGTGCCGACTCAAAAGGCTAATGTTCATTAATGCAACAAAAGCCATGCGGATATGCACTCGGGAAGCCGGCCGAAGCCCCACAAGGTGCACGTTTACAAAACGTTAGCTCGAACACGTGATTCGAAGTTTATACACTCTGAATTGAACTTGTCATCACACCCACGCGCGCACACTCACATTTTATGATATTTATTGATATATTCGCGATAATATAATCCATGCAGATTGTGCGCGTCGCAAACACGACACACACATATACACATATATACAGAGTAAAATATAATGTTATTTATAGTCATCAAAGAAACTAAACAAAAAAATATTATTGTAGAAGTTCTTCTTCGAATATCAGCATTGAGCTAAAAACTCATAAACCTAGTAGCTCGAAGCGGTAAAATCACTTTAAAAACTATATATTTTATAATAGATATAATTTCTTTGACAATTGCTTTCTCTCGTGTAATTACCGCAGCTGTAGAGAATTTTTGCACGGATGTCCTTCATGATTAACCTCTAAACGATTAATACATGGCAATTTGAAACGAAATGAGTCATTAAAGCGATAAGGAAACTAGTTTCCGAACGACATATTTCTATTTTTTCTTCCATTTTTTTTTGGCTTCGATCGACGACGCTCGAATTCATTAATCATCTTCCAATCGCGTGAGATGCACGTGACGGATACGTAAGTAAAACAATTATACGCGATCGCAAATATCATACGGTTTTATGTAAAAAAATGCGGTCGTTAAAATGCCTCTTATAAAAGTCGTAGTTTTTATCTTAGACATTTTTAAACTGCAATATATCTCTTAAAATGTTTACAATTCTAAAATGAAATTACTTACCTAAAGGCGAAATAAAATTTTTCATAAATTTAACAATCTCAATTAATAAAACATTTTTCAATTGCATCAATTTATAAAATAATTTAAAAATAATGAAACAGAATTCTTATTTGAAGACGTAATAAAATGATTTTCTTCGCACGTGCAAAATCAAAATGTTCTACATAATTTTACATTATTTAATATTATATATATGTAATAAATGTATATATTACACATAACAGATTATATATACTTATATATATATATATATATATATATATATATATATATGTGTATATGTATATATATAATATGAAATAACAAATGTATATTGTATGTATATATTATATATATATGTATATATTATATATAATAACATTAAACAAATTTTTTTATTAATAACATATTGATTTAATTTAATTTAATATATTTATTATTATGATTATATAGTTTTACATCCTGCTTCAAATAATTATATATCATTTAATGTTGGTTAATTTGAAACATCTTAAATTATATGCACGTGTCAGTTTCGTTTCATTATTCTGTTTTCGTTAGATGATTCAACGGACGAGGAGTATCTTTACATTTATTTCCTCTTAAGACCACGCTGACGTTTATTAAAGCATGTAAACGTATATTATGCATGACTCATAAATCTCGGGCTAACTGATGTGCGTATGATCAGCGCTTGAAGGGAATTACAAGATTATCTGGCGTATTGCTCAATATTTACGATATTTGAACAAGAAACAAGATCGTCACTTTTCTCACGATCCCCCGCCGGTATCGCCGCGTGCAATAAAGAGACGTACGTATACACATGCAAAAGACGTGGAATTTCTCGAAGAATTATTCACCGTCGTGAAACACGCGTCTATCGTCGCGCTTGCACAATCGCGGAATAGACTCCCCTTCTCCGCCCCTTCCTCTCTTTTCATTTTCCCCTTTCATTTGTGTAAGCAAACGTCGCGGTATATATTGGCGAAACAATCAGACGAAGTGACGCCAGTCAATCGAATCCACTTGTAGTAATTGCAGACTTCTAACAGTGAATTACTTATCCCGGCTCTATCGGGAATCAAACGCCGTGGCCGTGCACGTCGGCGTTTGTCGCACACACTTGACGCGCGCATAAGATATATGCTTTATTTCAGTTTAGATGCGTTGCCTTATTTCTCACAATCAGTTTAAATTCGAACACGGTCGCTCGAATACACCTGTATCTCCTCGATCGACGGACGAGCGTCGCTTCAAAACGATAAGCTTTATACGTAGTCAAATTGCGAGCGATAATGAAAGTACTCGCAACGGCAATCCAATCTCGAGCCGTGATAAAGGAAGTTTTTTTTTTCATTAATTTAGCAAGTTTATTAAAGCCTCGTTGCCTTTGCCGCAATATTGTTATATAACTAGAAAAGAGATAAGCGTTCTCTCTCTCTCTCTTTCTCTGTTGGAACTAAATTTAAATACGCTCGAAACTTAATTATGCACCTTAAATATGCACAAAGTTTAATTAACTCTTGATTAATTATAGACATTAAAATTATCTCTATACAAAAGTCACGTCTCCTCCAAATAAAGTATATATTTGCTGTACGCTTCACATTGTGTTTTGCATGCTATTCGCCAGGCATTCGAGTACTTTCATCTGATTAACTGCAATGACGGCCAATGTGTAACGCATGTAAAAAGAATCGCGCTCGAATCAAAGTTGATTAATCAAATTTCGTGCGTGGTTACGATCAAGTCAATGTTAGTGGAATCATAAATATGTGCACGAGCAGTTATAGAAACAAAAGCAGGGGAACGTTAATTGATTCGTCTGGAATCATTGATTTCGGAACGCGATGAACCGCGCGGAGAAGTATGTCAATAAAATTAATTCGATCGTACTTGTTGCAATTAGTACTGATTGTACTCATTGCAATTGTTCGTCTAATTGCAATGATTAATGCAAAATTTTGCTTGCGTGTCGCGCGCGCTTACGCAATACGGGCAGCTTTAATAATAACGGAGCTAGACGTACCTCGAGCGAGGATTATCACGCGGGATTATCATCCGGAGTATTATCTCCGCATTGTCAGGGGAAAAAGATCTTCCCTGAGCAAGATCCGTAAATTAAATCCGTAGAAAAAATTGGAGTTTGCTTCGTAAGTCGGAGGAAAATCGAGCGAGCGGATCGCGCGCGAGGCGATGAGCGCGAGCGCGAAAACGGGGCGTTTCGGGAAATCCGCGAGCCGAGAGTATCTTTCAAAATTAAACGCCCGTATATCGCGGAATTGTAATTTCCCCGCGGTTCCAGAAACGGACGGAACGAAAGTTTTCACTTTAATTTTCAATAAAGGAGAAACACGTGCGATATTCCCGCACGGCGGGTCCACACACGCGCGCGAACGCGCGGAAAACGTACCTTCGCTCGCCACCGCGGTCGCCGAGGCAATATCGATCCGCGCGTGTCCGCAGGGGAGAGGGGGTGTGCAAGATTTAAAAGTTATGAAACCGAGCGCTTCTTACATAAAATAGAGACACTGGTTATTACGATAACCGCGTTCACGTAACGCACCGGCCCGCGTTCGGGGGCTGCGTCCGCGCGCGATGCGCTTAAGGCTTTTAGCGAAAGAGGAACCGGCAGTTCCGGCGATGAGAAAAAAGACGCTTAAGTCGGATGAAACAGCTCTTCAAAAACGAGTCGAGCTAATTTAACAGATGCGACGCGGTAAATTTTGTCCAGGGAATTGGATTAATATCTATAATTACAACTATTCGTTACATTAAATTAATACCAATCAATTAATATATTAATAAGTGCTGTGCAAATATAAATATTAGCCATGCAATTTCTTCTTGATTAATCCGATTTTACTTCGGATAGAAGCGACCGTCGCTTCCGTTTATTTTCGTCGAAACAGATCTCTCTCGTCGCGGCAGAATTTGCTTTGCAAATGTCGAGGCGACGAGTGCCGCGCGGATCACGTCAAATCTAATCATGTTATTTATGATATAGTAATATTTTCATAATGTATTTTTCCTATAATGGACGAGGTAGGGTAGGTTAAAGGCATTCTCGTGACAATATCGCCTTGACTGCAATTAGTAAACTTGGTTCACGGCCAAGTTTAATAGACTCGTTGGTGTCTTCACCACTCGTCTCCAATCGTCTTAACTGAAGATCAAAGTGTCGCGAGATCGCGTTGTCACATGTTAATCTAATCGCCATCGAGAACTCGGGATATTTTTAATTCTTCGAAACGCGAGAACGTCTCTTCTCTCTTATAAGTGAATTATTTTTTCTTCTCCCCATTGCTCCCATTTTACTCTTTTCTTTTTCCTCCGGACGTGCAAATTATTTCATTCTAAGTAGCGTTTGCGAGCAGAAAATTTCAATCGCAATTGTTATCGATTGAATCTCGACATTTAATTGATGCTTCACGTTTTCAGAATGAAAGACAGTAACAGCCCGGTGGACAGCAGGCAGGACTTGGAGGGTGGCTACGTGAACCACGGCTTAAGCGAGTCCACCAACAACGTGGATCTTATTCACTCGTTTCAATCTCTTCAGAATACGCACGGGAACCATCGCGACATACAGGGCTCCTCAGATTTCATCTGTAAGTTCTAAACGATAACGAGATAAAAAGACTGGAGAGAAAGCGTACTCTTTGCTGAGCCGCGCGCACAGAGTGGATGTTATACAGAAAGGGGATGTTAATATATAATAATTTACGCTCTATTCACCGTCGTATTTTAAAGCATAATTCACTTCTCGCACGCTGCGAGGATGCCGTAAAAGTGAGTACCCGTCATAAAAAAAAAAGAATGGTAAAATTCCACGATTGCTCGGATGAGCATCTAACGGCGATTCATCTGACGAAATTGGCCGAGATCTCGCGTGTAGCTTTACACTTTACGTATATCACGAGGGCGATGATGACAGAGACTCGTATCTAAACTTAATTTCACAGAGATAATTTGAATTGTGTCTGTCGTGCTGTCAGTTACGTCATCTCGAGACGCGCGGAATAATGAGACACGCTCGCAAATACGCTTGAAAATATCAAATGTAAAATGTTTCAGAAATTTTTAATTTAGTTTTACATAACAATGTAACGATGGAGGCGACGATATAAATTTTTTTCATCTGATATACATTTTCATGTAAATGCGATATCGATCTTCGCGTTACGAAACTTCGGTTTCACGTTGCCGCGGTCCCAATTTATTCAGCACTACAGAGAGATAAGGACTCTTGCCTCAATCTTCATTCCTCGTATTTTAATAGTTGTTGATAAAAAAAACTCTCTGATAAAATCACATTAATAATTGATCATTTTCGTGTTTAAAATAAACTCACAGTTTCGACGAACATTTTTGAAAATATTACAAATGATCTAACGTAAACGTATAAGGAAATAGAAAAGATAAATTATCACAAATATAATATAATATAATAATAAATATATATATATATAATAATAAATATAATATAATATAAAAGGATAAATTATCACATGAAAATGTTTTTTATTCTATTATTCAACTGGTTTATCCTCGTATATATTAGAATGCGTCAGACGTTACTAATCATTTCATTATATTCATTATTTTGTTTTTCAGTAAAACAATAATTCACACAATTCACATAATTCACACGCTTTCTGCATGCATCAATCGTCCTGCGCATTGCGTAGAAAAATGTTGAAATAAACGATTAGAAAATTTTTATTCTTTGGGAATTATTCACATCAAAACTACATTCGTCAAAGCGACTGGCTAAAGCGACATTATTAACGAATGCAAGATTACGACAGTGTGCTTTCATGCGTGTCGTCGATGATTTTATTCCACGGAACTGGTTCGCCTTCCTTGATGAAAAATCGGCCTTTTGAAGAGCGCATAACGCTTTTAGAGACACATCCCAGCGCGCGTGTGTACGGTAATATTTTTTATTCCCTTCTTCCTTTCGTGCCTTCATTCGCCGAGATAATAAATTCAAGTGTCGCGCCGTCCGTACGAGAGTGCTCCGTCCTTGTTACCGTGCTTGTCACATTACGCGTTTTCGCATACACGAAATTATTTATGGGCTAACGTGGCGGACCGCGAATGATACGACAGACGGCGGATCACTCGTGTTAAAAGTACATGGTCACAATGAAGTTTGGCCAGCTGGTTTTTTTTTTTCAGATCGCTCTTATTTGCTCTGGAAGTGGGACAGAAAATTATATACAATCGAAATGACGATTGGAGTGGGACTGAAAACATCTTGCATTCTCAACCATTGCAATCATTTGTTTAATCGTATCTTCCCTGCAAATCCAAATGTGTAAATCTATAGTCACTTTTTACGCATTTATATGCGTGTTATATTTTTACACATTTTATCTATGTTTTACACAGTTAAACGCATATTTTTTACACGCTTAATTTTACAATAATATGTGTAAGCGTGTAAAAAATATGCGTTTAACTGTGTAAAACATAGATAAAATGTGTAAAAATATAGCACGCGTATAAATGCGTATAAAAAGTGACTACAGTTCACACACATGGATTTACAGTGTTTCTAACATGACTAGATCTTATAAAACTAAAAATGAAATATCACCGGAAACGTACGGAAATTAATTATAGACTTAATTGGCAGATGAAAAATTACTGCAGTTAACAATAAAATTTTTTAATCGTAATAAGATACAAAATATATGATATATTTGGAGGAATATAAATAAAGGGTTTTAATATTCTCTATATTTTTATCGATATTAAACTCATATTAGACACTGCAGGGATAAAATTACCGCTAACTCAATATTGAAGAAAATTGAGAACGTGACATATATAAATCTTTCTATTATATTCTCATTGTAAAATTATATGTGCGAACAGTGATCGAAGATCCGGGGGATGACGAGGGTAAGCAGAAGGAAAGTCTCCTGAAATCGGTGCTGGAGCACACGAGGCGGCGTGCCAAGGCCATATGCACGAAGAAGACCCTTTACAAGAGGCTACCGATCTTGAACTGGTTGCCAAGGTACAATGGTCAAGATGCACTCGGAGATCTGGTGGCCGGGATCACCGTGGGCCTCACCGTCATTCCTCAGTCGCTGGCGTACTCGAACGTCGCCGGTTTACCGCCGCAGGTACATAAACGAGACGTTTATCGCTCATAATGACAGTTACATTAAGTTATCGCACTGACGTTATGGTGTATATTTAACCAAATGTTCTTTTGCTGAGTCAAAATTAATATAAGAAAAAAAGAACGAAATGGTGGTAGCTTTCAAAGAAACAATATAAAAAAACTTTTGTAAGCTAATTTTCAAAAGAAATAAATATAAATTAAGTATCAGGATAGACCGAGAAATGTTGCAAACAATTAAGAACAGGAAATGTCAACACGGTCAAAGCGGATCTTGGTCCATAATATTCTAATATAATTAAATAAAAATATAATCTCTATGCTTTTAAATTAATTACAAGTAGATTTATTTTAATAAAATTTTAATTTGATTCTTATTCGATGTTGAAAATAGTAAAGCGACTATCCCTGAAAAATAAATTAACATTTTTTATACGTATGTATCACTTTTTGTTTCAGTACGGTTTATACGGCAGCTTTCTGGGTTGTTTCATCTACGTAATTTTTGGATCTTGCAAGGACATACCCATGGGACCCACTGCCATAATATCTCTGTTGACTTATCAAACAGTGTCTCACTTGGACTCCCCTGTGCCGTATGCGATTCTATTGACCTTTTTGGTCGGAATCGTGGAATTAATAATGGGTATATTTGGACTCGGTAAGCCATCTTCAATAATATATCAATATTAATTTAATTTGAATTGAATGTAAAACACTTCGATATTTTTAAAAACTATTGTTAATAATTAAGAAGAACGACATTAATTACTTGACAAAAAGTGTACAAATAGTTAAAAAGTTCTAATCTAATTCTACAATTAATGCTTAAAAAATTAAATTTTATAATATAAGATAAGAATATTAATAACGTAATTGAATTCACGTTGAACATTTTGACATTTGCAAACGTGACATGAGACCTTCTTCTATGTCCACTTCTCATTCTATTTATTACATATAATATTAAGATAAAACTTTATTTCAAAATTCCCATCTTTATCGCAATATCGAATGAAATATTTAAAATTGTACTTCGCTTTTCAGGATTTCTAATAGATTTTGTGTCCGGGCCGGTAAGCTCCGGTTTCACGTCGGCGGTGGCTTTGATAATCGCCACATCGCAAGTCAAAGACATCCTCGGTATTCCTGCCAAGGGTTCTCAATTTATTGAAATGTGGCAGAGCATCGGAGGGCTGATACATCAGACATCCGCCTGGGACGTCACCCTAGGAGTATCCTGCATAGCACTGCTACTAATTCTGAGGGTAATTATTCAGTACGAGAAATGTGTATCGCGAGAAATTATTAAAATCCTCCCGCAACGCGTGACGTTAATATTTAAATTTAATCGGTCGATTATTTAGATATCGTTTATATGGAATTTATAAAATGAATACAGAAAATATTTCGTTTAAAAACTCGCGAGCGAAAATAAATTGTATAGCTTTGTGTAATCCTAAATAAATAAATATTTGTTATAACTTTGAGAGAAAAAAAATGATGGAATTGGAACGTTCAATGGAAAACTCTTTATTAAGCGGCTTAATTCAATATTAATATTATTACAATTGCAATGAAGTAAAAAACTTTTGTAAACTATTACAAAATTAACGAAAATAAAGTGATATTTTTATACGTTACACTTTGATTACAGTTATTAGCCTCATGGAAAATCGGCCCGAAGAAGGAGGAGCTTCGTACCACGAAACATCGTGTCGTGAATAAAATCATCTGGCTGATCAGCACCTCGCGAAATGCACTTTTGGTAGTAATTTGCGGTTTACTGGGCTGGAGCTTCCACGACAACTCGCCCGTCAGACTGATTGGTACGTGACGCAAATGAAGTCTCTTTTTTTGAAAGCATATTTTGCGCGCGGCCGCAAAACAAACTTTCATCAGAAAGAAAAAGCGCATCATATTTGAATTACGTGTATGATATATAAATGGATGCAGAACCTCATTCACGGATTGCTGTGCCAGCAATCCGTGAGCATTTTGATTATTAATTATAGTGAGAGATGAAATATTATGTGAAATTTATATTGGTCATATATATTTTGTTGGACGAGAGAAATTGTATATATATATATGTTATTAGATATACCGTAACATGAAAGAGACGTTCTAAAATGTACGATAAAATGTTTCAAATATAAAAGCACACGCTAAAATTTCTCGTTCCAGGCTACATACCGGGAGGTATGCCTGCCGTGCAAATCCCACCGTTCGGATTCACGAAAGATGACAACACGACGGTCACATTTATCGAGATGCTCGGTAATCTGGGCAGTGGCATCGTCGTTCTACCGCTCATCTCACTAATGGAAGATATCGCTATCTGTAAGGCATTCGGTAAGCACCTCGAAAAACTTACGACAAAAACTGTATATCAGTTCCTCCGTCTTAATTTCCGTCTAAATTAAGAAATGATAACCGGCCTTTGTTCCGAGGGACCGGCTTTTATCTCCCCTGTACGTGATTCCGAATTACTTGTCGCATATTATTTCGATGATTATTTACGGAATTTCTTTGCATTCTTTTTTCTTTGTTAGCCAACGGAAAATCGGTGGACGCCACGCAGGAGCTGATAGCGATCGGTGTGTCAAACATCGGAAATTCCTTCGTGCAGGCTTTCCCGGGCACGGGATCTCTCAGCAGGAGCGCGGTGAACAACGCTTCCGGCGTCAGGACGCCGCTCGGCGGCATTTACACCGGTGAGTTCCGCTCGCCGGCCCTTACAAAATTATTACATCTACTTATCCTTCACCGGTGTCCGAACGTATAGCGAAGAAAAATTGGAGAACAATAATTTTGCAAAAGTTTCCTTCGCCGCTGAATTCCTTCAAATTTATAGAATCGCGCAGAAGCGAGTTTTTCGTTTAATAAGATAATAACGAGATAAAACTACGAAAAGGTCAGACAAAAAGTCGGTAGCTTTTGGTATAACGTTCGTGTGTGTTTCAGGTGTGCTGGTAATTTTAGCTCTGCAATTCCTCACCCCGTACTTCAGTTTTATCCCACGCGCCAGCCTGGCTGCGATTATTATCGCCGCGGTCATCTTCATGGTCGAAGTCAAAGTGGTGAAGCCGATGTGGAGGACGAAAAGTAAGGGCGCGCGTTGTGTCTCCATACAAATTACACCGGAATAAATTTACGCCACGAAATTAACGTGTATTTTCCCCGCTCTGTGTTCCCGCAGAATCGGACCTCATCCCCGGGGTGGGCACGTTCATCGCGTGTCTGGTGCTGCAACTGGAGATCGGCATCCTCTGCGGAATCGGGATAAATATTCTCTTCATCCTGTACCACGCTGCCCGACCGAAAATATCCGTGGAGAAGCTCAAGGTAATTATATCGATCCGCTTAAAAATACGAGAATCGATTCTTCATTCGCGAAGGGCGAACGCTTTAACTCTTCAATTTTTCACGTACCTACTTCGCTCTTGATTCGAGCTCACGCACACTCTCCTCTGGGAGGATCATAATACTTTCATAATGCCCGTTCTAATTTCTTCTTTCTTCTTCTCTTGTACGACAGACTCACGACGGTATCGAGTACCTGATGCTGACACCGGATCGTTGCCTGATCTTCCCCTCGGTGGACTACGTCCGCAATCTCGTGACCAAGTACAGCCGGCGCGCCGAGAGCGGCTCGACGCCCGTGGTGATCGACTGTTCGCACATCTACGGCGCGGACTTCACCGCCGCCACGGTCATCGAGATCCTGACGAAGGACTTCGCCAGTCGGGGGCAGCCGCTCTTCTTCTACAACCTGAAGCCGTCGGTGTACGCCGTCTTCGAGGGCGTCGAGCCCACGGACTTCGTCGTCTACTACAATCAGGAAACGCTAGACGATCTGCTGAAGGAGAAGGGTTACATGAAGCAGGTCAAATAGAAACCCCGCCGCGGAACAGTCGAGGGATATCCGTTTCCAATCGTGAGAGGCGCATTTCGTACTTTCATACAGCGTGTTTCTCGAGACTGTTGTCCAACGGACACACGTGACAGCCGGTTACCAAAAAGAAAAGAACAAAAAAAGTACGCGAAAAACTCGAGGAACTCTCGAACGTCTCCCCGATTCTTTGACGCAGTCGACCGGACTTGGCAAGGCAGCCCGTACGTGAATACTTTTAAATCGAATCGCCATGAAAGCGAAGCTTTTTTTTATGAAGCAAGTAAATTACGTATAATTTATACGTCGTTAATTCGTTATTAATTCAACGGCGTTTCGCTTTGAAATTCCGAACGACAGCGAAAGCGACGGTAGAAGATATCGTTGATACCCTAACGACAATACTTAAAAAAGTTCAAAAGTGCAAATAATTAAACGTACAATAGCTCGTTTAGACGGAGCAATTTCGCGCGTGTAGTGGAATCAATCGGAGAAGGCAGGGAAAATGCTGAGGCATGTTTATGCATACATCTTGGAATATATTTCGAGTATATATATGTACATATATATATATACCGCTGTATCGTTATATGTATCTCGAAGGCAGAGATATTCAGGCTGGAAATATTCTACGCGATAGGATGCGCTGCAGAAATTCCAAGAGCGACTATAGGAAACGTCTGAAAAATTAAAAAACGCACAGCTTTAGAAGGCGCCTTTTAGACGACTTGAATATCTCATAGATTCCTATTGTTAATCAAATTCCTGTCTCGTGTAAGTATTTATTTAACTTTCGCGATGAAGCGGGAACGCTTCTGCGTAATGTTATCAGATCGATATCACTCGGAGCGCGTTTCTCGCATTTAAACCCTTTTCCCTCTTCCTCCCATCGCGCCTCGACGCTATTTAAGATTCGCGGCGCGGCGGAGGAGTTCCCATTGTACATTTTTATACGGCTGCTGCTTCTGATGCAAAGTAGCGACTTCCGTAATTTAGGAGCGCGTGTACATATAGGTATAATAAGTTCGAACGATGCTGTGATAATTTTATAAAGAGTGCCTGGCGGACAATCCTGGCGAAGAGATTTTCGTACGTGCACGGCGGAAGCGGCGAATTGTGCGCGCCGCGCCGGCTTCCGCCGTGGCACTTGTGCGATGTACGCGAATATTATAGATCTCTCGTAGAGAATTTTTTTTTTTACGAACGTTTATTGAATCGACGGCGCGTGATTCATAGTCCGCACGCGTCGACAAAATATTTGCAAAACGTAACTGCAGTTAACAATTATTCTCGGTCGATACGCGAGCGGAACTGTTTTTTTCATTATATTTCCGCATGGTTTGAAACGATCTTTTTTTTTTTTAGAAAACGCTATATGATATAAAAATAATATCAGTTATATAAATTTTTTATAATATTTTTATCGTAAAAATAAATAATTTTGTTGTTATTAAAATTGTAACGAGATTGTAACTAATAATAAGGAAAGTTTTACAATTGAATTTTACGTAATAAAATGAACAGGAGTTTTTAAGCAATGCGGTAGTATAGCAAAAGGAAAAGTTGTTACGTTCTTTCGACAGCGATAGACGCTCGCTGAAAGATAGGTTTAATGCGGCTTGTTACTTCGCCGATATTAATCCGTAGAGAAATATCATGTTGCAACTATGCGTAATTATGTTACATAAAAGAAGATTATAGAATCCTGTGGTAAATTACTTAATAGCGCTGCATCTGTCGAAGATAAGCTTCGTCCACTCGGTAGACTTATAAGTTGAACGATGTATAAATCTGTTGTAATTAATACAGTCTCTGTTTTATATTTACATAATATAATATGTATACATATGTATAATATATATGTATACATATATATAATATGTATTACATTATATAATATGTATATATATAAATTAATATGTAATTATATACAGTCGTATATTTTAATTTTCTTCGTCAATTAATTTTCATAAATCAGCAATTAGCGTTCAACATTCTTAGATAAAAATCATTTAGAATGATTTTTACACACTCCTCACGATATTCTTTACGATTCTCGCACGACGAGAAGTCTGACGATAAATTTACGATTATATTTTAATTTTAAAGATTAGCATTAGATCATATATATCAGCTTTAACATCGCCAAGTTAAATAATTTTTTTTCCATATTGCAAGTAAAAATTGTATGGAACGTTAGAGGTTTATTATTCAAAAATGATCTGAAAAGCATTGTTATCCGAAGTCACCCTCCACCTCATCCGCGTAATCGGCACCCTTTACACGCGCGCATCAAAACACCTGTCCCTCGATAACAACGGATAATAATGTACACGTGATGACAGGGCGAATCGCAGTCCATCGAAGGTCGGCTCTCGCGTCTCTCTCATTAGCCTGATTGTTCATCGGCAGATATATCTTATCCCTACACGCCGCATTATATAGGGCGATGGTCTCCCTTCTCCCAGCCGGCCGGGCGTTATCGATTGTTACGAACACCGTCGTCAGAACCGTAGCCGTGGATCGCGGCGCCTACAGCGAAATTATTTTCCTGCGCGGTCGCTTCAGCAGGGATAGCTAAAAAAAATTCTCGGATTAATATAATTTTTAGAAATGAAAGGAGGAGCCAAGAATAATTTTTTTTTTGTCGCTGGCGAGTTTCGGGGAAAGTCAGCGCGGAGAACGTAATTGACTACTGCGACCGAGCTAATACAGTTGATTCGTATAGCGTCAAACAGCCTTCCTCAGCATCCCTTTGTCTCGCGAAATAAGGGCGATACCTCGCGTACGGACGACGCGTCCGCGACCTCCCGTCGATTGTAACACGCATGACGACAGAAGTGGCGCCGGCGAGGAAACCGGGGACCGCGGACCAGTTACGGGTCTGCCCCTGGCCGTTTGATAACGCGCTAAATGTGCACTTTCCGCGCGCGAGACCGTGTGTCCGCATCCGCAACCCTCCGCCGGCTGCGCCAGTCGCACGTTGGCCGATGACGGACGCGCACGGGGTGAAAGTGAACGTGTCTCCGACCGGCGGCACGCTACTCCGGGGTAAGTGCAGCAATCCCGTAAACTTCTCCGGATTCATTCAATCCGTTTGTCCGACGGAGCTACCGGACCCTCCGATCCGGACATTTCCCGGGACGTCTAGAACGTTTTTGGAAATTCCCGGGAGTGAGTGGTAAACGTCATTTCTTTTTTTATACTCAAAAAAATATTTTCTGCTTTCCATAATTTATTATATTTTCAAGTTAAGCAAACTGAACACGAATCCGTTTCGCATTTTATTTTTTATTTTTTGCCTCCGAACAAAGAAATATATATGAGAGCAAAAGTGACTTTACGCGAAACTACTCTGCGTTTTATGGAAATGGAAGGTGTGTATTTCAGCCACGAGAAATGAAGCAAATCCATATTATGTATTATGTATTCATACTTCAAAGCTTTTACATGCTGAGATTATGCAATTTTTTGAGAAATGCATTTTTGTCCGGATCTCTAAAGCGCGGCTGTGCTTTCGTGCTTGATGAACATTTCAAAACATTTGAAAAATATAGGAATATGTTTTCTAAATTTTACTCTGTGTATCTTTTTATTATAGTTTTCTTCGCAAAATCATATTTTTATTTTAATTCTATAACATGTAAAGAAATATATACACATGATTTAATTTTCCAGACATGGGAGATTTTTTTCTTCATCGTTTTCCAATTGCGTAATTGAAAAACAAAATTATACACTAAATTTTTGCTTGATTTAAATTCACGGTTGTCTTATCTATTATCTTCTCTCTTTACAGTAACTTCCGGTTTCGTTTATATCAGAATTTAAAAATACAGAGAGACTGGTACACCCGGTCCTTCGGACGACGTGGATACTGTGGTATTCGATTTTTCACCCGCTGTCGGATACACCAGTTGCATTTCCGCGCATAATTCACGAGCGTAGATTATTCCCGTCCGATCTCGTAGCACGTACACGTAGCGCATACAGATCGAGGATATCGAAATTATCTTTCAGACGTCGCGAAGGATATCGGTGCCGGCGAATCGGCGTCGATGAAGGAGACGGCGGACAGCACGGCGATATAATGGCATCCAGGAAGCCGACGAAATACGACGACTCGTAAAAATCCGCGAAGATGGAATTGCGCAAGGGCTCCTGGAAGCTCGTGATCCTCGTGTGCGCGTTGGTCATCTACCTGTGGATGCTCTTCGTCGATCACTCGCACATGCTGGCCGACATATCGCAGGGGATCACGCTGCAGAGAGCGCGGCTCTCCGCGCGGAACGTCTTGCACCAAAGCCCCGATCGAGGATCGAGGATCGAGGAGGCATCGCCACCGGACGGCCGGACGGACCCGAAGAGATCGCAGTCGCTCTCACCCCGGAACACGAGCGGTACGCTCGAGGGTGGTGTATATCAGACGCTCAAGCAGCAGAGCCTGGTACCGAGCCGGCAATTACCGACTGCCCTGATAATCGGCGTGAAGAAAGGCGGGACGAGAGCTCTCTTAGAATTCCTGAGATTGCACCCCGCGATTCGCGCCGCCGGCTCCGAGGTTCATTTCTTCGATCATCATTACGTTAAAGGATTTCGTTGGTACAGGTGCGTGCGACAAGTCGATTAAAGTTACGATGCAGCACTAATCCACTTAAGACTACGAGATTACCGAGTAATCGAGATATTCCGAGAGATAAGTTCGAATCGATCCTGTGTTCCCGCTAACATCTTTTACAAACAAGTAATAATTTCTTCAAGCAGTAGAGAGAAAGATGGCTTTACTTATTGGCTGAAATAAACGTAAAAATAAACGTTAAATCTTTATATAAATTTTATAAATAATGAATTAAATGATTTAATTTTTAATATATAACGTTAAATTTATATACAAGACATAATTTTAAATCCTGCAAAACTAGTCTCTTCGAAAAACTTTTTATTTGCTCTTCTGCACGAAATATTCCCTTCTCATCGATTGTCTTCTTTCATCGGAGACACTTTCTATAAGAATATTTTTAATGATGTCACGAATATTTTTAATAATTTCTCTAACAGTTTTAAATATGTTTCTAAAAATTCTCAATAATCAGGCGTAGAATGCCGCCGACTCTGATCGGTCAGATCACCATGGAGAAGACGCCGTCGTATTTTGTGACGAGCGAGGTGCCGAAGAGGGTGAAGCACATGAACTCGGGGATGAAGTTGATCGTCGTGGTGAGGGATCCCGTGACCCGGGCGATCTCCGATTACACGCAGGTGAAGAGCAAGCGTCGCAAGATGCCGCGCTTCGAGGACCTGGCCTTCCTGAACGGGTCGCGGATCGTGGACACCTCGTGGATGCCGCTGAGGATCGGGGTCTACGTGCGGCACCTGGAGCGCTGGCTGCAATACTTCCCGCTGTCGCAGTTCTTATTCGTCTCCGGCGAACGTCTGATCGCCGACCCGGTGACGGAGGTCACCCGCGTGCAGGACTTCCTCGGCCTGAAGCGGGTGATATGCGAGAAGCACTTCTACTTCAACGCCACCAAGGGCTTCCCCTGCTTGCTCAAATCGGAGGATCGCGCGACGCCGCACTGTCTCGGTATAGGACATAGGATAATCGAGGATCTCGTCGGTCGTCTCGAATAGAGTCGCGCGGATAGTGAAAGATGAACTCCTCGGGAAGCAGAGTGCATGAGCCGCGACAATTATTTGTTATTAAAAATCCGTTTTTGCCGAAATGATAAACAGAATACGGCAGAATACATTTTAAAGAAATTGTTTTTTCGTATTTTAAATGGTATAATTAATAGTCGATACTTCTTCAGAAAGAAAGCTATCGGTTTTTCTTATTAATTATTAACAATACAATTTTTCTTCGCTCAAAAATCACTAGAAATTTTTTATGAAATATTACTATCTCTTGTTTGCGTTATTTGTTCACGCAGAATAACGTAGGCATGTATAACGTTCGATTATTAATTGATCGTTCGTCGTCTTTCAGGAAAGAACAAGGGTCGCAGTCATCCCTATATCGATCCCATGGCGATTCAGCGTCTTCGGGATTTTTATCGGCCGTTCAATCAGCGATTTTATCAATTGGCGGGTATGGATTTCGGCTGGTACTAAAATCCACAATTGCGTATCGCAATACAGTACATATCGTAAGCAGGAGAACGGAACGGAGTCAATTCTCGTCGTGTATCAAGTACTTGTTACGATATACATTACGCCTGAATATCTGTAATCCGATATAGGAAACACATATCCATATATTACAGTCAGAACGCGCCGTTAGTCCGTAACAGCGTTTAAACGAGACTTTTCCAAATCTTGCTTCCGATGATGTAGTCATATCAATTTCATCATACTTTAGTCTTTCAAAATTAATTTGTAAAAGAACACAAATATCTTTTCTAACTTGTATTAATTTTATGTAGCATTAAATAATCTATAAGAACTCCGTATATAATATAGAAATCGTTGTTTTCTCTGTTTGTTATTTGTAACATAGTTAGATTATGTAGATTCGTGTAGTTTAGTAAATATTAGATTTGCCACGGTCAAGCACTAACAGAAAGAAACGATATCTCATAAAATGAGCGTACAGTTGCCGTCCGGAAATCTTTACGAAAAGAAACCGCGACATATCTATATACTCATCCTATAATTATAATAAAGCTACAATAATATATATGAAATTATATCTGAGAATCATATCGAAGATACTTCTATATACATGATACTTCTATATGCAATGAAACAAATATAAAATCTATATCAATATACATATACATATATATATATACCTATATATATATATATATATATATATATATATAAATCATACAAAATAATGTGTAAATGAAGGGAGCTATAGTTTTTCAAGTCAACACATAATTAGTTTTATTTCTGTTGAATAAAGTAATATTAGATTAATACGCGGTAATTAGTTGAATCGAATACCAATACTAGAACATTTATCGATTTCTTCCGTTACTCACTTTTAACTTTTCATTTTTTATCCTGTAGATGGACACAATAGTGCAATGTTAATGTATCTTTTTGTACTTTTGGTAAATTCGTGCAAAATGTAACCGCGAACGCGGTTATTGTAACAATTATGCAACGAAAGGGCGAAGCGATTAAAAAATTATTTCCGGACAAGAATTTAATTTTTACGCTGGCCATTGTAAAAAATTGTATTTCAAAAAGTTTTGAAATAGTTCTTTTCCTTTGCATTATCGCGCCACACTCAATCAATAACAAACTTTTTTATTTCGCAATGCAAGTTTAATTCGTTTCTATACTGGCGTATAACATTACATACATTTGATCGCGCTTTTTTTATGCAAGAAAAAAGAATTTATAAATTTCTATTATATCTGTGAAGTTTTCTGTTATAAAAATTTATATTTTATATTTAATTCGCGCATATATAATTTCTGTAAACTTTTCGTATTTGATACTATAGGCTCAATAATCTCTTTGCCCTTGTTAACAATCCAAATGTGCATTTGTCTTTAATGTAATGTATAGTATATGACAAGGATAAGTATAAAAATAATACAAAAATTCGCTAGTTCCTAAGTATTAAAATCTAGTCAGTACAATTAGCGAAAATGTGCGCATTTATGGAATAGCTGGATAGGAGACCTTTGACATAATTAAGTTACGAATCAGAGATTTAATTATTCAGGGTATAACATCAGATAACGGGGATAAAAATAACGGAGACATTTATTTAACTAGTACGAATTGAGGCCGGCAATTTTCTCAACGAGATGTACTATATACGGATTTATTTTTAACTCTGCAAATTGTTAAATATGCTTATCGTCGATATCCTGCACTTCACGATGTACTCTGTATAAATCAGCGTTTACAAGACAAATCTAACGAGATCAGTGAATTATGAAGCACAAATTCGAACGCGAAGAAATTAATTAAGACAGGATAAGTTAGCGAATTATTCCGTAAGTTCAGGCGCGACGTGCGTTAATACATCTTGTATGTAAGAAAGAGTAATAATTAGTGTATACTTAATTCGACGACGAATTGGAGGGCTGTATTTATCTAGTACGTAAGAACGAAAGTAGATAACGTTTTTAGCGATACGATCCGTGCGAACGAAGAACGATATATGATGTAATAGTGAAGCACAGTGCTTTTGCTCAAATTGTACCACAGGAGGCTGTCAATACTAATATAAGTATTTCGTATGTTGTTTTAAATATGTTTTGAATACAGGCTGTTTGACAAATAGAGCAAAAATATGTACATAAATGTTATGCAAGATGTCCAAGAGTAATCGCAATTCACCCGTAGACGCTATATATAAATAGATTGGATCTTTTTGTAGCTGTTGATTATAAGTAGCACGCAAACGCTATATGTAGAAACCGCTCGATTCTCAAGTCAAATTCCCGACCTCCTTTCTTTGGTGTTATTTCGTCACTTTATGTCACTGAAATCTCTGAAACTGATATTTCATACTAATTTGAAATCACAGATACAACTTGCGTTGTTCTTTAGAGAAATTTATTAATAGAATATAATTTGTAGAGACTTTTTTCTGTGCATATTATATAAAGTGTAATGCAGATACATGGAGAATCTGTGTGGGTATAAATGGTTAGTGTACATAAATTAATATCTTCGGCAAAATATAAATTCCCATATATTTGTCTATCTTTTGCATTACAAAATAGAGGTTCGAAATTAAAATGAATATAAAAATATACAATAACAAGGACACTATGTCTTTTTCAGATCACAAGATGATCGACTGCAAGAAACGTTCATCGCCACAAAGCATCGTTTGTTACGTTAAATCAATATTGCGCTATAGTAATATCAATACTCTAGATCTTTGTTTCCATTGTAAGGCGATTGTACAAGTAAATCGCAAGCTACGCATACAACTGTTACTGCCATTAACGTCACCAGTAAGTATCTTCAATTATTTTTACACATTATTGGGGAAAAAGATATTTTAAATGCAATAATTGACACTTTCCAGCGGAATATCTCTTTGCAAAACGCTCAATTCGAATCTTTAAGTTCCTATAATATTAAACCCATCTCTCAAGGCCTCGGAGATTCTTTCCGAATATTTGTCAAATATTCGCAAATCCTTTATCGTCATTACAATCCCAATTGTAAAAATATTTGCTAAACAGTCTATTCTTAATCCTCTAGTTTAGGCTAAGGGACGGAAGAATAGGCTACAATTCTTCGCTCATTAATTTCCTGTATTCTTGTTGATCTTGGATCATTTTCTTGAATACGCGATATTTTCGAAGGTGATACCTGAAAATAATCGAAAATAGATATTTTGCAATATGATGAATATTCAAAATGATATTTTACTATATGATGAATCTACTATATAATCAATAATATGTAGATGTATCTTTTCTTAAAGTTGATTTGTATTTCATCGGAACTCTAAATAGAAATACAATATATTTTTCGAACTGTCCTCTCCCTCTTGCTCTCATTAATCTTGTGCTTACTTGTAACATTCGCTCGTCGGTCTCACTATATTCGCCGATCCCGCCATTCTCTGGACGGTCTCGTGAATGGAATATTTTTTCGTGGCGCACGCTCCGAGAATCGCCGCGCCTACCAAAACCGATTCTCGCTCCACGGGGCAGAGTACCGGTAACGCCAACACGTCGGCTTGTATTTGGATGAACAGCGGATTCTGGCTGAGTCCACCGCAAACTAGTATACTCTCTATGCTGTGGCCGGCCGCCGACAAGACTTCGATTATGTGCTTCGTACCGTACTGTAAATTAATACATGACGTTAGTCAGAAAATGTGAATGTATTACATTACGAATTATCGTATCTATTAATACAGTAATAATCAACGTCTTCAAAATCTTATTGCGAAAAAGATGATTTTACTAACAAAAAAAATCATTTCAGCATCTAATTTTCAAATATATTAATTTTTCAAAAGAAAAACTCTTTCATGCATTTTTACATAAAAACCGTGAAATAATGAAAATTATTTACTAATTTAGATAAAACAAATGAACGAAGAGAAAACCGGAAAAATTCTTTATATTACAACTTTGAATGAGTTAAAACTATTAATTTATAATATACCGTTAGTGCCTGCACCGCAGCCAAGTATAGTAACGCTAGATTCTCCTGATCCACAGATAAGGATAATCCGGATATCTAAAATACAGATAGACAATAATATACAAATATATCCAGCTTTTTTTATATCGATGAAATCAATTCAATAAAAGATTCAACAAAAAGTATATGTGTGTGACAATATACCATTCCTTTCAGTGTTGGATCGGCGAGGGGCGAACGATTACCGTGGAAATCCGGCCATACATGTATATCCTTCGTCAGATACGATACATTCTGCAGGCCTTTCTGCTCGGCCATGACGTGCAACAGCTCGGATAAGTATTGTTGAATGTGTCTGAAACAAATTCGCCCTTTCGTATACTCGCACTCGTTCGCAGTTCTCGTTTCGATGAACTCACTTATTGCCGCCTAAAGTCTTCAGGATCCCCGGCGTCGCGGGGTGCGTATCGATGACGTGATCAAGCAGCTTTCCGGTGGCACTCTGTCCACCCTCGTTGAGCCAGAAACCGGGCACCATCGCGCTGTAATACGGACCCCAAACGCCATTCACGAATATCTTGTTCTCGCTCACTATCATATGACAGGTTGAAGTGCCGCAAATCAAAGCTAAAAATTACAAGACACTTTGCACTTCCTTTTTCTTTTTAGCTGAGCAATATATGTATATCGTGTATCTTATACGCACCCAATCGGTTGGAGAAATTCGGGGACACATCCGACGCGTAACATCCGATCATGCCGAGACCACCGGCGTGTGCATCGATCAGCGAGGTCCCGACCGGTGTGCCTTTCAACAGTCCCAATTCTGCCGCAGCTTTCATCGACAGTCCGGGCTCAATCGCATCACCAGGTACCCTCACGTCGTTACCTTGACATTAACGTTAGTCTTATTATTGAGATAAAATAAGAATTCAATCATAGTTCTCTTACATATTTAAAATATCATGTTCTATATCAAAATTAACTCTGAATTAAACAAATAAATGCTGAAATTGATCTTAATCGGAAGCGATCGCCGCCTCTCGTAAGGCAAACTATATCTAGAGTATCTTTGCTAAGAAAACCTCTTCTTAAAAAATTGCCGCCGTTCGGAACCAGCGTTAAACGGTAGATCCCGTATATCTGCGTAAAAGTGTAAATAACACATATCGCAGAAATACGAGGAGAGGTCACAATGAGTCTCTGACAAGAGTAGCAGGGACTGAGTGAGTGAAAACAAATAAATTTAAAAAGTCAAAAATAAATAAATTTGAAAGCTTCTCTTCTTTCGGGCACAGTTGAATTTTGGTGCCTAATAAATTCTATATAAATTTATAAATCCATTACAAATCAAATTTATTTGTTATTCGCGCGGTCTAGTTCGAATTAATATTGTTAAACTCTGAATATTCTACAATTTAAGAATGTGATTCCTTAATATACCTATTTTTCTCCAATTATCTTTTTTGAGATCTCGCAAATTGAGCTGTTCAAAGAAGTCCTCGTTCCATCCGTTCTTACCAATGGGATTGGCGCTATAATTCCACTTACACACTAACGAACACAACGATCTGAAACAAGCAAAAAAATAAGAGAATTCGATTCTTCTTATTGCTTTGTCATTTATTAAAGGATTTTAGACATCGAGAATTCATACCGCGATTCCGATTCAGTGGCTTTCCACGTTAAAAAGTCTGGTAGGTCAAACAGTAGCGCGGCAGAGTTCCAGGAAGCGGGCAAATTCTTTTTGAGCCACAGCATCTTCGGCGTTTGCATCTCGAGGGAAACTTTGCCGCCGACATATTGCAGTATATCGTGGCCCATAGAGTTGATAAAGTCAGCCTCCTCGTGCGCCCTGTGATCCATCCATAGGATGACATTTTGTTTCTCCTGTCCTGAACGCAATTATAATACACGTCAATTTTGTAATATTACTATACTGCTATACGCGTGAATTCGACACCCGAACGAGAAATACAATATCCACCAGGCTTTTCTCTGTATACCTGTAGGGCTAACTGTTATTGGTGAACCTGCCTCGTCTACGGCCACCAACGAGCAAGTGGCGTCGAATCCGATTCCTTTAACATCCTCCGCGGAGATTTCGGCGACAACCGACTGTGAAGCAGAATAGAAATCGAATCTCGGGTCAGGTCATTTTGCTGCCGCGAGTAAAGAAAAAAAAAAAAACGTCTCACACTCTACCTTGACAACGTGGCAAACGGCGCTCCAAATGTTATCGGAGGACTGCTCGTAGAAGTTCGGCGCGGGGTGAAATATCTCGAGCGGGCACGTAGCCACCTTTTTTATCCTCCCGCTCGCGGTAACCAGAGCCGCCCGGGCGCTACCGGTCCCCACGTCCACGCCCACGAAGAAGTCCATGCCCGTCGCCAGCTGTGATGGGACAGATTGCGCCCGCAATCCCGCGCAATCCGGCAGAGTGTCCGCGACTTGTGAGTGCGCACACCGCGTCGGGGCCTAGGCATGAAGACTGCGAAGGAGGAAGCGAACCGTACAGCCAACCGTACAGCGCGCGTTAATCATCGACACATATTCTAAGATGACATGACCCTGAGATAACATTAATTGCGAAGGAGATACGGAGCGAAATAAAAACTTCAAACACAGCGTGTATAGAAGCGTGTTATCAGCTAATGCTTCTTTTGATCCAGCGGGGCGCACATATGCGAATGTGCCACCGCTGGTGAGCTATATAGCCGCACAAATCGAACATGATTTACTCCGCGTTCTCGCCGCACATCATCGGCGCCTGGTGAATAGTCGGCAATTAGCAAAATGTACACACGTCGACATATGGTGCGTACTCGCAGGCGTCACGAGTAAACGGCGAACGCTTTCCAGGAGCAGAATTATCGCGGGGCGAAAATTATTGCATCGTCAATTATTGCAACATAACGATCAGATATTGTTTAAAGTTAACACAGGCAGTTTGTATGTGATGGGAATATCTCTATATACGCGAATGTATCCGCCACATGAATATATTATTATCTCGACCTCGCGATCGCGATCACGCGGCCGCTCTTACCGCACCGCCACACGTTATACTTACGTGTTCGAGTAAAAAGCTCTTTTTGCATACTCGGTGAAAGTCACCTTAAACGATGCCACGGCGACGCGAAGCGTGACATCGTGATGTCACTCCGGTGACTCCCGGGCGAGGAGGCGCGCGGCCGCGCGTCCGATGATCGCAGACGCGCGACGGGCGTGAAAAGTGCTTCCCGTGCACGGTCGTCGTGCGGGAAAACCGCTTCTCACGTTCTCGCCGCCGCGGCGTACACGCACGTGTACGCGTGTGTACGCACGTGCCGCGCCGCGCCGCCGTACCAAGCCGTGCGCCTAATTAATGCAGTCGAACACTCGATAACTCGAACCTCCATACCTCGAAAACCTCTGTAAGACGAGAAAAATTTATTCATCCCCTTTCGCTCCACTATGGAAAATATACCTCAATAAATAAAACCCTTAATTATTCGAATTATTTGTCAGATATATTTAGATATATTATTTTACCCCTGCAACTCGAATTTAATAAGTAGCCAGACATAAATTACATAAATCGAAGTTTACCTCTATAAATCGAACTTCTATTGTTCGCTACCTTTACAATTCGAAGTTGTAGCTGTATATATGTGTAACCACATCATGAGTAACAGTTATTATATGTAGGCAATAAATAATTCGCCGTTAAATATTGATCTCTTTTCCTCTAAAAGCCATTATACAATCGGAAAATTATAAGCTCTCGCAGTCTCCGTAAGTCGAATTTTCGTATGTTAATCCTCTTTTACTCGAATTTCGATAAGTCGAAAACCCTACAGGCCTGTTTTTTTTTTTTATAGCTGAACTGCTGCACTAGTTCACACAGTTTATCTTTCTCTTTTCACACTGGAAAAAGAAAGATAAACTCCGAATTAGTGTAGCCAGCTGAACCAGTGTAGTCAGCTATAAAAAACAGACCTTATAACTCGAAGGGTTTTTCTGTTCCCTTGAGATTCGAGTTATCGAAGTTCGACTCTGTGCCGACTTGAGAGTGATACCGACCTAGCCGTACCCGAGGCCTGCGGGCGCACGTGCGCACGTGCGGCACGTGCCGCACGTGTAGCCAGACTCGCGATCAGCTGGCGCGCGTCAACGCGTCAATTTGCATGTTTACCTCGCGTTCATTTTCACCGCTGCGGAGGGAATAACGCTCGTGCGTCGTTGCACCCTCGACAGCGGGACGTCGAGCATCCAGAAATTCCGGCGAATATTGAATCGCAAGCGGAATTGCGTTCGCGACCGTCGCCGCTGGGATCTAACCTGAAAACATGGTTCGCTTCAAAAACAGGTGACTTACAATGAAATATTAATTTCAAGTATTTCAACCTATACAGCATACTTTATCCGAGGAACGTCCAGAGGACGTCCTTTACGTCCTAAGGGCGTCCTTAGGACGATATTAAAATTTGTAGTAAAAACAAACAAAAATTAAAAATTTATTCAGTTCAATCAATTCAGAGATATTCATATATCTGTGATGTATCGGTAATTCCGACCTTCCAGCATCGCCCTAAGGATGTCCCTAGGACGTAAAGGACGTCCCTCGGATAATGTGTGCTGTATGGGAAGTTTCCACGGAGAGGTTTCCTCTGCTGTAATCACACCCGAGACTTCCTTCATTCCTGCTTATTACGTCTGTTTAGATATATCGTTTTCACGATAAAGCCACATGGTGAGAAGGATGACAAGCAGGCGACGTGGAAGAATACGCATGTGTCTAACGCGATTAAACGGAAGGTGCAACAATTATATGGTGATGTAGGAGTCGCGGCGATAAGGGATGGCTTTGACGGTAATTTAGTATTGGATATTATATATGATAGTTCTTTAGATAAACATTCAGTCTCCATGTATGTATATATACATTTAGTTTTATATAAAAAGTTGCAATAAAAAGTATAAATATGAAATATATATTACTTTTGTTATATATAATATAATATATAATATATAAAATAAAATATATAATCAATATATTTTAAAATCTATTTTACTCTGAACATATAAAACTATCATATATTTGCAAAAATCTAATTATATTATTTTTACATAAATTAATATCTGTTTTTAAAGTGTGTTTTTTAGCCTAAATACTAATACTTTGTGTTTTGTTGCAGCAAAATATTGCAACGTGCAAACGAAAATAGCGATAGTAAGGCTCAGGCATGGACCTCACAAATTCGCACTGCATGCTATTCCGCTGATAAACAACGTAGGCGAGCGACTAGTCGAAACGAGGATCCTGTATGTAGGAGCGACCTTGAAACAATGTTTTCTCTTTATCAGAGTAAGACTGCAAACACTCGTCTATATTCCGCTTGCGTCTCCAGTTGAGGCAGAAAATTACTTTGCGTTCTCTCTTTCTCTTCAGAAACATCAGGAGAGGAAGCTGGAGCAATTGTGGTCGAAATTGCCAACGGAAGCCGAGAGGAAGCGGATGGAGACACTCCTGATGACTCTGACGCCCGCCATGAAGGATCTCAAGTAAATAGTCATCGTTATAACGGATCGTAATTATATAATTGTTTTTGTTTTAAGTTTACAAATAAAGAGGCAATTTTTTAATAACTCGTGAAATGTATATATTAATATCTGGTTTTGTCACGAACTCTGACATTTCTACAGTTATATCCTGGACGCAACAAGTTGAGCGATGTCAATAGATTGGTCCTCTCTTCCTTTTCTTTTTTTTTCTTTTTATAATTTTAATTCCAAGTTCTAGAGACTTGGGGGGGGATTGCTTTCCATTTAGGTGACACAAGTGGACGCAAATCATCATTCTATCCTTCTCAGCATCTGTAGTGAATGGCAAATATAAAATGTTATACTTGTGTCGGCTTGCATAATCATTAAATGGAAAGCACCCTTGGAATTTTCTGAAACCCGCGTTTCCAACACGATATGCCGTTATCTGCAGAGGATATCTTTCGTGATCGAGCCGCGCGCAAGGATCGTTGCCACCTCTCCGCCAGTTGTCGCTGCCCGCAGCTGGAGGTGCCTCCCCCTCTCGCCCGCCCCACCGTTATCCTGCTTCCGCCGTGCCGTCTACACTCCGCAGTCCGCCGTGGTGTGCACTCGTTCGGAATTCGTATCGTCACGGAGCGGCAGCGGAGAGACGACTCCAAAAGTGTTTCAAAAGGTATCCCGTGAACCCGGAGAACTCGTGCCTGCAACCCTGATCGTGATCCACGAGGAACCGGAGCAGAGAGACGGCGACGACACTCCACCCCGAGGAACTGTTGGACGTCGACGCGCGGGAACGCTCTCGCCCCCCGCGGTCGCTGCGTTTACGCCGGACGGTTTTAAGGATAACGAGAGAGACTCCTCCTCCTCCTCTCCCCTCGCTTCCTCCCGCGGTATCGACCGCGCGTCTTCCGGGATCTCGTCGTCCGACCGCACCGTCTCCATCCGGGATTAACCGTCGCCCCGGCACACGTACACACCGGCAGGCTCGAGGTAAGCGTTTCCTTCCCTTTTTTCCCCTCCCCTATCGATCACCGTTTAGTTTAAAGACTCGCTCCTGGCCATGGTCGGATCCACCCTCCTGCGGAGGTTACGACTACCCCGGTGGTGGTAGACCTCGTAGGCGGAATCTCGTCAAGAGCCCGTCGACGAGGGTGGAAGGGGAGGGGGGGAGGGAGGGTGCGGAATTTTTCACGGAGTCGATGGTCCGACAAAAATTACGACGCAAAATTATACACATACACGCCACCCGTCAGCCCGTGGAGAACCGTGAACTAGCTAGGTGTCCCGTTTTATATTTACACATGATCCTTGACATTCGACCCTTCCTTTAGCTTTGGTGGACATTACACGTCGACGTGTCTAAAAGAAGACGATCTTTGATATTCCAATCTTCGATCTGCGGACGTTTAATATTCCGAGGACTCCTGGTTTTAAATACGAAAAAGAAAAGGGAAATGAAAATAGCCTCCCTCCATGTTGTGTATACTTGCTGCTGCATTTTTTTCCCCCCCTCGTATCTCTCGGCGCTGTTTATATCGGCGAGGGCAGACGTCGGTGTGCTTCGAGGGTGCTGCCTTCTGTGAGATAAACACATTCAGAGAAAGGATAGTTATTCAAATAAGGACAATTGTCGCGGCAATGTTTCTTTCGGAAAAATCTGTTCGGAAGGTTTTTGCGAATCCCAGAATTGGTCCCGACTTTCTCTTTCATCGGTACGTGGCCGAGCAAATTGCTCACAGATGTTTGCTTACAGATGCGCATCCCTGCGCTTTCCCTCTTTTTTTTTTCTTTCGCCTCGGAGAGAAGGAGATGAGCTTTCCGTCCGAAAGAAAAAAAAGACCGGGGAGGATCTGATTCGACTTTCGAGCGTAGGTGTAGTTAAAAACAGACGGTGTTTATAGTTATGTCACTCTGTTTACAATACGGTGAAATGAATCGTTATAAGTGTCGTGCGAGTCGCGAGAGGAGAAGACGGAGACGCGTGTTTATCCCGCCTGGGGCAAGACTGACGGGGGATAATAATTAAAGGATAACGACTCGAATCGCAAACATGAGTTCGCAGATATGACGAAGAACAGATGGCAAACGTTATTATTACGACATACGAATGTTCTTAGAATAAGGAAACGCGTGTTTTTCCGCTGATAATTGTTTACTTTCCACGTTTATTTTTTTCCTTTGACCGACAATCACGGGCAGTCGCTGTACATATTGTTTCTCATCATTTCTCGTCTCTGATTTGCATAAAAATTTCAGGAGTGAAAGTGGAGCGAACGCCTACAATCCGATTAGCGGGATGGAACGTAAAAACAATCGTCCGTATCTATAGAATGGGCTTTACAAATTGTGAACTCGACTGTCCTCCTCCCATGCGACGTTCTAACAATTCGTTTCAACCGGCGCGGCCGAATGTCCTCAAATGTGGTCGCTACATCTCGACGCGAAAGAAAACACTGAAAGTTCAACCGTTTTTAGTTTCCACCCCTCTCTCTCTCTCTCCGTTGCGTCACGGGGAATTAATCGTCGAACAATGGGCTCTCGATCTCGTTATCTTCCAAATGCATCGCTCGCCGCGGGAACGAGCAATTTAGCTATAGAAAGCCGCGCCGGCTTAGTTTATTAGCTCCGCACGTAGACGTGTATATTCGTTCGCAAAAGCGATCGCTCGAGTCGCGAAGGAACGGGAGGAAAGGACTAATTGACGTAAAGCAACGGCGGCACGGATGCTCCCCGGCCGTAAATCTCGTCTGCGCGACGTGACGAGAGAGTCACGAGCTCTCGCGTTTATATAGTAATGAGCGGCTAAAAAAAAAACACAAAGAAGACACGTCCCAGACGCGTATAGGATGAAATTGTATCTTTTAACTTTCGCGCGACCGTGCGAAGAAAACTCCGCGGTCGCGCGGAATAATCCGGAGGAAAGCGCGGCAGACTACATGGCGGCGTTTTATGGCTGTTACGCCAATGCGATCGCGGGCTTCCGCTCGCCTATTAATTCGCTAATTGGCGCGGGTCCATACGCGGTGTCGAAGATCTCCCGTGCGATAATTAGATCGCTCAATTAACGAGCGTGTATGTGTGGGGCCTTAAACTTTCACGTATTCTTACCGCCGGTACGGTCTCCCTTTCCCCTCGCCTCACGCGACACGTATGCAGTAATGTAATTTAATGTAATTTGGTGTGTTTTTGCTTTTCTTCTTTTTTCCTTTTATTATAGCGATTACGTGTAAACTGGGACTCTCGCGCGAGGAACTCTCCGAGATTTTCTCTTTTTCTTATTTAGTCCTTTCGCTACGACGAACTTCTTTCCACACTTTCTTCGTTTAGTATAATATATGAAAATTTTTATTTTATACCCATATACATTCTTTCTCGGAATCCGTTGTCGTGGAAGTAAATTAAAGTAGGACAGTGTTTTAAAGAGATTATTTATTAAAGTCTATTTTAATTTCTGCATCAGGGGAAGAGCGAGTCCATTACACGGACGTTTGACATACTAATGTTCGAAGTAAGCGAGTCGCGGTATGCAGTATGCAGCGAAATGCAAATGCGCTGGATAAGAGTCGGTCGCATAGGCGAGCCGGTGCGGAATGATTTTAGCGAACAGAGACGATAAATATATCCACATGGCATGGACCCCGAAGGAGAAGAGAAGGAGAAAGAAAGGGTTGGATCTCGAGACTCTTTGAATCTCAAGAGTCCCCTGCGAGGAGAAAGAGAGAGAACGGAATGTTTCTCACTTCTCTTTGCTTTCACGAGGCGATGTTTTGACGATTTCTTTGACATGCTACGCGAACCACCGTCGCACACGTCAATTACCGAGAATATCGTCTCACATTAGCGTTTTCTGCATTCTACGGCTACCTTAGTATGTCGATTTCCTTGATTCCTCCTGCTTTCGTTGTACCTGCCGACGAAAAATGTAGCTTTTCGTGCATCAATTAAGATATGTAAAATTTAAATATTTGTATTTGAAAGACTATACTGTTATGGCTAAGAAGTAATATCTTTTATTCGGAGAAACTTGCGAGAGAGTCCAGAAATATACGAATGAGCACTTTTATTGGGGTGAATATCGAACGGCGTGAATCTCAGAAAAGAAGTTTTCGTAAATCTCGGAACTTAATCTCTCGCGCCGCGATATTCGGGGGAATGCTAAGGATTACTGTCGTTCATAAATAGAATTATCTTCCCCGCGGCAGTCGCCCCATGTGTGTGACCGCCGTCCATTTACTGAAATACCTCGGTATCCAGTGCGCCCAGTCGCTTGCAGTTTACGTTAAGAGCGTCGAAACAAAGTACTGATCTCTTAATTCCCTGACTTGGATTTCACACGCGAGCAATACTGAAAAAAAAAACTACATTCGAAACGTTGGATTTATTTCGAAAAGTTGGTCGATTTCGCGCCTTTTGGATTTTTTTCTTTTTCGTCAAGAACTGGAATTAAATTTGAATTATATAATCGAATATAACTTTGTCATATTTTTCATGGACAGCTGTCGCGATTGAGAAGAAGCTTCGTTCACCGATCGAGATCTGAATGCGTCGTAATTTTATATATCTCCGGAGTACAGAAATTTTCCAGTTACGGGCTTGGTATGGTTGCTAGGAATAGTTTACGACCGATATCCTATCTATCGATCACACGGTGCTCTTAAGATACGCCGTTGCTAGCTTTATTCCCGTCTAAATATAAATCGACTCTGTGTTTAGTCTCTCATCGCTATTTCCTACATTTATTTCGTACGTAAAATACCGAGGCTCGTCAATGTCCGCTGGGTGAGTCGATTTATTACATGTTTCTTACTCGTTGCTTGGATCTCTGAGATCGTTTCGGTCTGATACACTGCGAGTACAATGCAATGGTCTTAACTTAGCACATAAACGACTTCGTTCACGACGATGCTGATAATATTTATTTAATTAGTATTATAATATTAATTATATAATAATTATATAATATTATAATACCAATTAAATTATATAAGTAAATTATAAAAGTCCTATGTTTCATATTTACATCGAATGTAGTTTTCGTACTAATAATGGTGTGATGTTCATAATTCTAAAGGGAAAACAGCAGGAAAAGTAACTTCCTTTTAAATAATTTATTTTACAAGAAGATGAACATATTTCTGTACGATAATGACATGGGAACTTTGTAGTGTTATGTAGAGATATTTTCCTAAGGTAATAAATAAATAAAAAATATCACAAAAGCAAGAAACGTATTACCATAAAATCGATAACAAAGTCTTAAGTAATTATTAGTAGTTTGTACTTCCGAGCCATCTGTTTTGAAATGACGCCGTACGTCGTCGCGATAAGCTTCCTCAAAATGTTCAGTAAAATTAAAATAATTCCTGATAGTTCGTATATTTGAGAAATAACAACTTTCCGCAGATTTATGTGCAGCCAGCTGCTGATCGCCGTCCGTTAGGTTCTCTCTGAAGAGACATTTCTGCGGTATAGCACCACCCAAAGAAACTCCGGTTACGTCACTTGAGCCCGACATTCGTGGCCGAAGTTCTCGGCACACGACTTTTCGTCACGGGACGACCGCGGGAATTAACGATCAGCGAAGAATCGCCGAAGCGTTTCGTTACGCATTGACCGTCGCTTCGGATCTTCGTGATGATCGTCGTAACGGTCGGATGCCGCAAGGATTTCCGTGTTTCCTCGTTGCGCTTCCCGTACTTCCCCTGCAGGCTCCTCTCCTTCATGTCGTTCAAGACGTTGTCCAGATTCGATATTTCGTGATCGTCCTCGCGTTCCGGTACGTCATTAATAATTTCCTTACACGGACACGTAAAGCTTCGCGCGTAGGTACCAGCTGTCTTGTTCCTTCGTTCCTTCGTGGATTTCTTCGGGTCCGTTTCGGGACACGAGTCGAGGATCACCCTCCCGCCGTCGCCCACGAATTTCACCTTTTCTCTCGAAGAGTCCGGTCCGAGGAGGACTTGTCCTCCGTCGCCGGTGTACTTGATATCGCCCACGTTGTGATACACGTGCAGCTTGCAACCGTCACCGACGACGTGAACGCTGCCGGAATTCTTCGACAGAACGATCCAGCAGCCGTCGCCCGTGATCTCCAGGACACGGTGATTCGAGTGCATCCTGACGACGAGCCCGTCGCCACGAAGTCGCTTGACACAGCTGTCGACGTCGCCCTCGTCGGTAGGATGCTGCTTACAGTGCCCCATGCTGGAATCGCTCTTGATCCTCCGTTCCTTCCGCGTCAGATCCGACCGCTCGTCGATGCGGGAGATCGTCATTGGCGCTCGCGACTTATTGTCACCTCTCTTCGTCGACAGGGAAAATTCCGCTCGGCACATTCGTCGTCCCGCGACAAATACAACAATTATCGCAATTGTTGTCCACGTGTCTCGGAAAATTTATAAGCAATATGTGCTATATTACTAATGAGGTATTGCTTTGCGCTTTGTCGAAGGGTCTCTTCTTCGTGCTTCTGTCTTTCGTCGCTGCGAAATACAGGATGTATCTTCTTTTCAGAAGCGAGTGCACGAGAAGAAAAAGCGCGGTTCGCGCAGAGAGACACGCGAGAGAGTTATTTACGTTACGGCGAGCGGCGTGACACGACTCCGGTCCCTACGTCGTGGCCGCGTAATAACGAATGCGTACGGCCGATTCCGCGCGGTGGTGGGCCGCGCGCGCGTGACGACGGGTTCTTCACCGAGCATAATCGGCCCCGGTTATCATCGCTTCTCGGGGGACTTCCCGCGAGACCTTCCGCAGCGGTGAACTCCGCGTTCATTGATACCAGAGTCGTAGCTAAAAATTGCAGTACCTGTGACGAACTGCTATCGCTAAATCTGTTATTTATATGTCACAGATAGATTATATTGAGATACGTTGATCACATTTTTTTCTCTATATATAATATGGTTTATATATCTCTTATTTTTTTGTATATATTTAATATATTTTATAATTTGAATATTTTTCTATAAATGTATAGGAGTTAGAATTTTTTATAAAATTTTGAATTTTATCCTGTTACCTGTTTAATTAAAAGTGAATTTCATTAAAAGTGAATGAGAAAATTAATACTGGAAACATTATTAAGTTAATTACTAACAGTTCGTAACTATTGCGTAATTAATCGTAATTATTTCTTGAATTTTCAACATCGTATATATTAAATTTATTTTCAAATTGATATTCTATTAAAATGCAATTTTAACATCTAATTTCTCTTTTGTCAATTTTTCAATTCTTATTTATTTTCATGTATCAATTTCCTTGTACATCTTACATGAATATATACACTGCTTCTCTTATGCAAAGCGGCGTAAATGTAGCAAGAAAACGAATTCGAAAAATTTTTAGAATTAAGAAGAAGACCATGTTTGCCACAGTCTAGTTACGACTCTGTTTGCTTCACCTTTTCTTCTCTCTCTAATTCGCAATTCTCTCACTGTTATTCATCACGGCCAAGCGAAGGACAAAACGGTTTGTCGGACTCGAAGCGTCTGAAAAGAGACTTACAACAACGGCTTTACAACAGTCGTTTCTTAATATAATCGTAACGTCATCCTTAGGCTTTCAAAGAGTGTTGGGGATTAATTTGCAATCCTGCTTAGTTTTTACAATTCTCTTTGTCGAGACAGAGAGAGAGAGAGAGAGAGAGAGAGAGAGAGAGAGAGAGAGAGAGAGAGAGAGAGAGAACTCGACATACTAGTGTATGTAAATTTTATAGTCCTTAAAATTTTTTTTTATTACATGTCGACTGTGTGTCTCTGTATTATATCTTTTAATGATATAAACATTGTTAGAGGATATAATACCGATATTCCTTTTAAAAATACAAGAATTGAAATATTTTAATAATATCTATCTCATCTGGGATGATTATTTATCACATCTCAGCTGATGTCAGTTAAAAATAAATATTTCTCCTAAAATATTATAATTCCTCGAGAGAAAGAGAGAGTGATGTACGAATATTTTCTGGATTACAAGCATGTGTGTGTGTGTGTGCGTGCGTGTGTGTGCGCGTGTGTGTGTGTGTTCTGCAGATTTCACCATGCAATCAAGGAGAAATGCCAAAATACGCGCGCCAAAGATTAAAACAGAAAGTGTACTCGGAGCGAATGTGGAATGCACTTTTACCCAGCAAAAGTTTTTAACAAAGACTGGTTAAAAATTGATGCGAATATTATTAGGCTAAGTTTTTCAAAGTACAAAGAGGTAACTTCTAAATTGTAGTCTTTAATGTGCATCTCTCAAATTTTTATCGTGATATGCGTGCCAGAAAAGAGATAATATATCTCCTCTATCTTAATTCTTTAAGACAGAAATTTTGGATCAAGTCTTACTCTTCTTCTTTTTCTTAAGTGAAGTCTCCGTTTCTTTAATATCTTGTTTTCTGTATTCGAAAAATTCTAATTGTGCCAATGGTCAATATATATATTTAGCATACTTATCAGCATGCGTACGTATGTCTTATCTCGCGAGGAGGTCTCAATCAACTACATTCCTATGGCCGCTCTCACTGTTACTCGGTCACACGATTTCTCGCAAATCGCGATTCACACGTGAAAAGCATTACGTCATTCAGTAATCGGGAGGGAGTAATTTAGTGACTCAATATATAATGGTATGGCGAAACATCTGTGCGAACAATCTACGAGGTATCAGCTGTGCTCATAGATATGCGCCCAGGGGGAATCACCTCGTTCCTTCTAGCGTTATCGCGGTGTCATATCTGCATAATAGTGGCCTTTATCGCTACGTCTAAGTACGTCAAAAAAAGAAAACAGAGATAAACTGATAGGAGAGAGCTCAAATAATCAGCCTTAATTTAAAAAACTAATTAATCTTTTGCGAAAGAGAGAGAGAGAGAGAGAGAGAAAATAACCGGACATTCCAGCGTCATTTATTTAACATATAAATTAGAATTTATTTGTTATAAATTATTTACAAGTTTTACGAGTCTATATAATTATAAAATATAAGTAAACAAATTTTTTTTGTAAAGAGTACTTTATCTCTCTTTCTGTTTAAAATTAAATAATTAAAAATCGAATGTTTTACTTAGGCTTTTATTTTTATCTATTAAATTGTGAATCACTGAGCTGCTCCCCTTGATTCGGCACGAAATCAGAAAAACATGTCCAGACTATTGGAAATGATTTCCCTCGTATGAGGCGTGTGCCATTCGACTAATTCAATATGACCGTGATTGGAATTCCATAATTAGATTTTGAAACGAAATAGCTTTATCGACTTGGTGCCATGCAAGCTAATTGCTTCTGTCTATATCCTCAGTTTATTACTGTTCGTATTGGGTGATTTTTCTTAGTCGTGGATTTAAAAGGCTTTTGATCAACTCCGTATTCAAAAATTGGCTATCTAATTTCAGAGAATTAAGTTAATGTATTTACTGTATCATTTTACTGCATAATTTTACAAAACTTTATTTCATGTCTGCTTTTGCAAGCCCATAGTCAAAATGCTAACTGAAAAATTTCTTATAATTAGATTTATCAGTCTCGAAAATATATCTATTTATCTCAAAATATATTTATGTGTACACACACAATTTTATACGTATAATATATATATATATATACATACATAATATAAATTAGAATATTATGTATAGATTTAATTTTTATTTAATTAATTCGTTCTTTTTACGATACTTTTTAGTGGCAAGATGATAAGAACGAAATGAGTCATTCGCTCAACACCGCCATAATGGAGACCTCGTGCCCCGAGCCCGAAAATTGTCTGAAGGTATCCCCGCCGATGCCGAACGTGGCGCGGCAGGACTCGGGTGTGCCAGAGGATCTAGCTTCGCCTCTCAATGGGGAGGATCTGGATCTCACTATGAACAGCGAATGCAACATCACCGTCATCCATATCTCCGAATCGCAGAACAGCAAGGCGAACGACAAGTCGCTGGCCGAAAACAAGGACAGCAAGGACGGCAGTGACAGCGGTGTCGAGGGTTGCGCGACGGAAGTTCCAAGAGTGAGTCTCATTGTCAGTGCGAAAGCTTATTCGTGAAGAAGATATTTTCTTAAAATAAAAACTCGGATTTCTCAATACGTAAAACTGCCAAAAATGTCTATACTAATGATGAACAGACCTATAAGTGGAGACTTATTACGATCGTATATTTCTTTTGCAGGTGCGCAGTAGGAATAGCATCGACTACACGAGCAGTTGCGGCGGCTTGGACGAGGCCTCTTGCGATTCTAGCCTCGTCAGTTGTTGCTCAGTATACGAGGATGCATGCGGATCCACGTTGCCAGACGACGTGCGACTGGGTGCTACTGGCGGCGAGGGCACGAGCGAAGGCGGCAGCGAAAGCTCGTCCATCGCCGGCAGCGTGTCTGTGCGAACGAGCCGTATGAACGTGAAGAGGACCGCGACGGCGTCCAACGCGGCCAAGAAGAAGATCGCGAGCGGTAGCGAGTCGCAGAAGAGCGCTCGCACGAAACCAACGAGCGCGAGCTCGAGCACGAGCCTGGGCGCGACGACGCCGCGGTCCAAGTCGCGCACGGCGACTCCTAGAAACATAATGGCCAAGGTTCAAGGGGCGAGCAGGGATCATCGGCCGCGGTCGAGGGAGAAATCGAGCGCCCGGGGGGAATCGAGCTCCTCGCACGTTGCGTCGGATGTCAATAAGATGCCTGTTGGGAGCCGTAGTACGGCGACGTACGGTTGCCGGTCCAACGGCAGCGTAATGTCCAGTTCGGTAGCCACACCCACCTCGTCCTCGATCGCGAAGACGCGAACGAGAGTGCTGCCCGACTCGCTGCCGTCCGCGCTGACCACGGAGATCAACAAGGATCTTGCGCAACGTGGCGGGAGAATCGTCAGGAATGACCTGACCTCGAGGTCGAGGACCGCGTCCAGCACGCGGGGAGCGCGCACGCCGGCGTCCACGCCGTCCGAGGAAACGAGAGTGAAGATACCGTCCCTGTCGACTCCTCGCGCTCTCTGCGCGAAAAGTACCGCCTCACGTGCCGATGGTAAAGCCGCCGGCCAAGAGAGCAAGGCGCTCGACGCGTACGCGACCTTGCCGCGTAGGAACAGAAACAAGCTGACGATCTCGAAGGTCGCGGAGAAGACGGACAAGACGACGGCCAGAAGTAGGTCCGGAAGTCGAGACGTCAGTCTCAGCAGAGCCATTGAGAAGAAAAGCATCACGGGGAGAGATACGTCTTTCGCCCACAAAAGCTTGCCGCCGTATCCCAGACAAAGAGCCGTCGAGAAGACACGCATATATCACGAGACCGCCGCGCAGACCGGCTTGACCGGGCAGGACATCGCGAACGCGTTGTCCGGGCAGCCGAGCGCCGTCGCCGGGCCCGAGGTCGTCGAGAGGCTGCACGAGGGCTGCCAAACGGAGGACGCGTGGCACGACGTGCAGACCTTGCAGGATAACTTGAGACGCTTGAACGAGGAAAGCGGCGGTCTGCGGCAAGAGAACGAGAGATTGAAGCTCGAGTTGGCGGAGGCGAATCGTCTTCTGGAAGAGGAACGGGCCGATCACGCGTTTGCGCGTCAGGAGCTCGACAGGAACGCGCAGCGGGTACTGGCTATGCTGGGCACGCCGCAATCGGAACACGCGGGTAAATTCCACGAATAATATATATAATAATGCAAAAATTGTAATGAGATAATTATATTTATATCAAAGATTTTTTTATATTGCTTGCACAATATATAAAAGTAAAATTTGTAGAAAATAAGACGTTATCTGAAATTTCTTTTGGGTAATTCAACAAATAATATATTATAATAATGCAAAAATTAATGATAATTATA